AGAATACCGAATCACTTTAATAGATAAATAAAAAATTATTTGTATATTGCATATAAAGGCACATATAAAGGCTTTTTGATTTGTTAATTATAAAATTATATTGACATCATCCTTATAATTATATTAATCATCCTTATATTAATTATATTAATCGCACTTTTGCGATTTGATTGATTATCATTTTTTGAGAATTTTCATTCGGATGATAATTTAAAAAAAAACATTTCATAGAAAGTACTGATCGACGTAACATTATTACTGAAACATGATTTTTTTTTGGATTTTTTCTGAAGGTAAATTAAAACTTTTAGAAATACACATATAATTTCAATAATTAAATAAAAATATATTTAGCCTGTAATATATGTTTGTTAACAATGTCACTTATTTAAAAAAAAAAAATTATGAAAAAAGAAAAAAGGAATTGATCATGAGATCTCTCTTTGATCATGAGGAATTGAACATACAGATCTCGAATCTTACGCGTGAGACCACGCCGAGATCTTGCAAATCATTTCTATGAACGTGGTATATAAGGCTCATGGAAAATCATAGAAATATCAATATCCCGTAAATTATCGTGTTTTGAAATTATTTTTGCTATTATACATAAATTGGAGGGATATAGGATTAGCATAATTTATTAAAACTTATATGTTATCTATAATGTTCCTTCTCCTCTTAATTATACACATTGAGCGGCCGAAATTTTCTAGAAAGCATTTTCGGTCGCTCGAAACAAGCGACCGTAGAGAGATGGGGAGGGGAGGGGAGGGTGAGAGAAGAGGAGAGGAGAGGAGAGGGGAGGGTCGCTGTTTCGTTCGACAAGTCCAGCTCGGCGTGCGGAATCTCACCTATTACAATCGGAGTTTCTATCCTTTTTTGTTTTTGCTCTATCTCACTCTGTCGTACTTCTGTTTCAATAATTCGTTCTGCAATTCAAGAATATGATTTCTATTGATTCTGGCATCAGCCGATGCAGCAAGCATGATTCCTTTTCTAAACAACGATCCTGATATATATTTCTATATATAAAAATATATTATTATTATAGCGCCTTTACAACCGATAATATACATATTGCTGGTTTATACAATGATTGAATCCATTTCTGTAATTAAATAGCGGTACTTCGCTTGTGCGCGATAAGAGGAATGGCGCTTCTTACTAAGTCGACATTTCGACATCCGAGTCGAATAAAAAATGTACAATAATTCAGACCTTGCACATTTAAAATAAGTAGCTGGCGATTTACATAAAATCTCAGAGAATAATACTATGTTCGCAGAAACGTGCTATGAGCTTTAATATAAAAGCAATGAGTATTTGAAAATTCCATTTGTATGCTACGTCTGCTACAAGATCGCCGCTTGTCGTTCCGACATACGAGCAGAATGGAAGCTCAACCGAACACACATAGCGTTCCGAATCTTGATATATGCATGTGTAAATAATTCAGTAAATAAAGTTAAACAAGTGTGTTGTATATATGTACACACACACACACGAGTGTGTGTGTGTATATATAATAGCATACATACACACGCGTGTGCGTATGTATTCGTGCATACATATACATATTCATATATATATATATGTGTGTGTGTGTTATTTTATATATATGCATCAATAATTTACTAAATAAAATGTATGTAAAAGACAGAATAGTAATTAAAATATAATAATTATCTTCATTTGTATTCATATGTAAATAATATGGTATGTTTCTTGTTTAGGAAGAAATTATTTCAACAAAATAACTAATATCATATTTATTTTATTATTTTTCCTCTCAAAAGAAAAAACTTTGACCAGGGCATGTTTATTGATATGGGCCTGAGTAGGTCAATAATTCAGATCATTTCTATGGTTCAGCGACGCACTTTTCATGACAGCGCCGCTGTCGGAATATCGCGGAACTAAAATACTGCTTAGTTTCATGGCTTCACGTCAATTTCACTCGTAATATACAAACGAAATTTTTGTATATGCCTTTCTCTTATACTAAAACTTCTACCGCGTTTCTAAAAGCATAAGATTGTTCATTTAGGTTTTCTGCAATTTGCCAGCTACTTTTTATGAACGTGCAAGATCTGAAACTCTTATATGCAACACATATAACGCTTGCATGCGCTCGTCGGCACACACAGTTGGCGGTGGCGCTTATGTAGAGCGTGTGTGGCTCTGCTGGGCCCGCTGAGTGGCGCTGTGGTACAGCTTCCTCCTTGCGTGTCATCTTTCCCCCGTCGAGATCCGCCATTATATGTGTATAAGCATTACGTACTCGTAAGAAGAACGAAGACCTGAGTCGCCTTTATTTTACGAAGTGAAATGAAGTGTTGCATGACCTTGAGGCCCGAGACGCTTGATTCCTCGAAGTAAAATTGTTGGATATCCTTGAGGCCCGAGCCGCCTGATTTCATCCTCTCATCGTTGAATTACAGAATTATGCCTATGAAGGACGATAGGGCAATCACGAGAATTCACGAATAACGTCGGAAGCCATTGAAACGTGCCTTTCAGCACTTTCCGTTATTTCTCATGGAACACGCCAGAATAAGGATTTGTAATAATTTACTATGCTAAGTTGCAGTAAGTTGCAATAAGCGGTAAGCTAACTATACACATCTCCGAAATGTTCTGGAACGTGATGTATATATTATCGATCGTGCCGCATATGTATCATTTCGAAGACGATTGCAAGATTGCTTTGAGATTTGCTATTAGACTGACACATTGGTTGTGTTCAGCAGAAAAAGCAGCTTTACAACTGTTATAAGATTCTCTGCTGAACGCCGTCTAGCGGTTTGCGCTTTTCCAACATATTTGCTAAGCGGCAACCATTTTTTCCAGCATACTGAAAGTATGCTTAATAAGCGAAACATGTTGAGAGTTAACGAACATAACCTGCAATGGATCTAAATAAAAATATTAATTCTATTCACGGTTATGTCAGTCATTAGTCAGCAGGCAACACTGAACATGAATATAAACACTGAACAACATTATACCTTCAATAACATATTGTACAATATTGTTGTCCCACGTGATGTACACGAAAGGTTACAAAATGGTATGTTAAATAATAATATAATCTTGATTTACTATATTTACTATATATGATGTATGTACGTGTAGATATCCAAAAATATATTTGTTATTTCTAATAGATTAAATTAATATGTATTAGGTGTAGTAAAAAGAAATCCATTATTTTTCCAATAGATGGCTTTAGTAATCTATTGGATTACTAAAGCCATCTATTGGAAAAATAATGGATTTCTTTTTATTATACCTAATATATTATGCTTAATGGAGATATATACATACATACATATATGTATATATACATATATGATGTGTGTATATAAATACAATTTCTATAAAATACAATATATATAACGTTCTATTTTATTGTTAAATAATTTGCAATACATATTTGAAGGATCATGTATCTTCAAATGAAGCAATTTGTATAACGGAATCTACAATATAACAGAAAAAGGTATTAGGTGTTGGAATTAATTCGTAGCGTTTTTTAATGAAAGAATGTTATTTATTTCACATGAGCATTAAAAAATACATTAATGAAAGTACTTCCCATCACTTGTAAAACGCTACGAATTAATTTCAACACCTAATATATATGCAGATACATTTCATACATAACATAAACGTAAATATATTTTAATTCAAAAAATATTAAGAAATATGCATTATGATATAGGTCAAAATATTGGAAACATACACTTTATATGGACGAAACAAAGCATATAATTTTTATTAGCAAAATATTATGAAAGAAAAGATATGTTTCGTGATCCAAAGATAAAAAAAAAACATTATGGACACAAACTGTTCGTTATATTACAAAAGAAAATACAATGAGTTTATATGTCATACGTACAAATATATATATGTGCATTATATTATTTTTATATTTATTTTCATTATACAAAGAATGTATGTTGTATTTACATAAAGGATATTTATTTTCATGTTACATAAGGAATAGACATGTATGTTGTATTTATACAGAGAATATTTATTTTCATATTACACAAAGAATATATATGTTGTACTTATATAGAAAATTCATATATGTAGCATACATAAAATGTAAACTTTTAAATAAAATTGTTTAAAATCGATCAACAATAAAATTACGCTTTTGTACAGCTTCCTGTTCATTATATTCATGCATTACATTATTTTCTTGTAAATCCATATCATCATCATATATATAATCTTCATCCGCTATGTTCAATCTGTCGTCAATGATTATGAAATTATGGAGCACACAAGCTGCAGCAATCATTTGATTTCCTAAATAAAAATCCGCAATATCCAAATATTTTAACCTTCTAAACTTAATTTTTAATCGGTCATAAGTCATTTCAATAATGGATCTTATTGAACTTAATTTAACATTATATGTTATTTGAGAAGGTAGTAAATGCCCATTATCTCTGAATGGAACCATCACATTCTGCATCAGAGGATATGCAGAATCTCCTATTAAATGCATATCATTTGGAATTAGAGGCATTTCTGCATTTCTTATTCGATTGTATAATGAGCTATTTCTGAAGACTCTTGCGTCATGCATACGTCCTGGCATACCAATATGACAATCAATGAATACTCCTTTGTGATCACAAACTGCTATAAATATTTTTATAATTATATTTTAGTAGGTAATTTTTTAATATGTATATCTATTAAAAGAGAAAAAATTACTTTGTTTAATTTATAATCTTTCTTTACCTTGCAATATAATAGAATGGAATTCCTTTCTATTGTAATAATCATGTGCATTTCCTGGGGGGTTTACAAGGGATATGACATCCATCTATAGCATCTATTACTCCTGGAAATCTATGCGATCGGTTTTGAAATATCTAAAATTTTAAAATTATATTGTAGTAAACATAATTTTATAATAACATAAACTTTCAGTAATTCAAGTCAAATATATATAAATTTAACAATATTATATAAAAATTTAACAACATACATTATAAGATACTTGCTGTTGTATTGCATTTGGCCACTGCACGTACTAAGATCAATTGTGCCCAAGCATTTATAACATTTTTAAATATTGCGTGTCCTGTACTTTTTGCCAAATTAAACCTATCATCAACAGCTAAAAAACTCTCTGATTTAGCCAATACCCAAATCGTAAACATTATTTTTTTTCTACATTAACATTTGCAAATTCATAATCATTTATGAGAGGAGCAGTTACATGAAGCAGTTCCTGTAATTTCACGTAAAAAAATTCTATAGTGTATGATTAAAGGTGCGTTTCATTTCATGCATGATGCGCATAATGTATCGTTATTGTTCAACAAATATTAGAGAAAAATAAAATGATACATCATGCGTGAAACGGAAAGCATCCTAAGTAATAAATAAATAAATAAATAAATGTGTATATATGCATGTGTATACATTCTTCAAAAGTGCATCGCGACATCCTGAAGTGTTCAATAAATTGTACATCAGTATATTGAGGGATTATTACTTCATAATAATTTTCGTTTCATGGCCTTTCATTCCTTCTAACCTCCAAATCATCAAATAATTGACCTAAATCTTCCGCAACATTATTTATTATATCGTTTATATTTAAGTCGTCATCTATCGCTATTAAAATTATAGCTTCCATTATCCATAGATTATTCCGATAAATACACCAAAATATTAGGTGTATGACTTTGCTCATTCGGTTTTCGTATAGATGACTTTAGCGGTAAGTGGTGATAGAAATAAATAGATCATAGACGTCACACAATAAACTTGGGAATCTGTCAACATAATCCAAAAAGAAACATTAGTCGATTTGTGTCTGCATCATAAAGTTATTCTCGATTGAAAATATCAGTTTACGAGCCAAATTCTTGTCATTTGCGGAAGGTTTTAATTTTCTGCTTCAATATGAAGAAATTTGCGGCTGAGACTCATCGAATGCTTTCAAATATTTATGGTGAAGCCGCTATTAGTGAAAGAACGTGTCATAAGTGGTTTCAACACTTCAAGAACGATGATTTTCACGTCGAAGACCAGCATAGCGGTGGAAGAGAGAAGGTTTTCGAAGATGCAGAATTGAAGGCATTACTTGATCAAGACTCTTGTCAAAATCAAAAAGAATTGGCACAATCATTAAGAGTGACTCAATCAGCCATTTCAAAACGTCTCAAAGCCATGGGAATGATTCAAGATCATGCTCTGTATTTGGTGGGACCAGCTCGGCGTAGTATATTATGAGCTGTTAAAACCGACTGAAACAATCACAGGCGATCAATATCGAACGCAATTGATGCGTTTGAGCCGAGCATTGAAAGACAAACGGCCGCAATACAATGAGAGACACGATAAAGTGATTTTGCAGCATGACAATGCTCGACCCCATGTTGCGAAAGTGGTCAAGACATACTTGGAAACGTTGAAATGGGAAGTCCTACTCCACCCGCCGTATTCTCCAGACGTTGCTCCCTCTGACTATCACTTGTTTCGATCAATGGCATACGACCTGGCTGACCAGCACTTCCGGTCTTATGAAAAAGTCAAAAATTGGATCGATTCGTGGATCGCCTCAAAAGATAATCAGTTTTTTCGACGCGGGATTCGTATGCTGCCCGAAAGATGGGAAAAAGTAGTGGCCAGCGATGGACAATACTTTGAATCATAAATGTATAACCAGTTTTTTACAATAAAGCCTCGAATTTCGGAAAAAAACCGCATGAGCAAAGTCATACGCCTTATACACTAGTCGCAACACCGTGATTATACACTGATATATATATAAGGATTAAAGTGCGTTCAGCAGAAATTGCAAACTGCTGGCAGCGCAGCACAAAGCGCTTCTTAAGCGCTGACTTCTGCTGAACGCAGTTGCTGAGTGCAGTCAAACATCTACGTATAAAAGATTTAACGCCGAAAGAAATCAAAGCCGAGTTGGATAATGTTCATAGCACATCTGCACTAGCATTTGCGACTGTATAGAATTGGGTGAATGAATTTAAACGTGGTCGTACATCCACATGTTATGCACCTCGTTCAGGTGTCGACATCCAATTGAGGCTGCTACGCCAGAAATCATCGATAAAGTCCATGATATATTATTTTGACTGATCGACGAGTGAAAGTGCATGAGCTTGTTGAGGCCACAGGCATATCACATGGCACAGATTTCAATTTTGTACGAATAATTGGGTATGAAAAAGGCAAGATGGGTGTCACATTTGCTTACTGTGGACCATAAAAAAATGTGTTTTACTATGTTTTTCTAAAAACTTATTAACTTGCCTTCGTATAATATGTCATATTTTGTTTATCTCATTTGCATGTTTGCATTGTTTCTTTTTGTCATATGTTATTTTAATTATATCTCTTCTGTAACCAGATCGAATCTATTTATCTAACTATTTATCAAACTAAATTATTAAATTTGAATTAGTTTTATTAATTATTCTTAGTATATAGTAACATTATAAATTTTGATTCATTTGATTCAGCTCATTGGACTATATTCCCTTTAATTTCATGAATAACAATTCCTATTTATTACGATAATTTTATATTCAATCTTTTCATACATCATATTCTAATTTATAAAATTTACGCATATTAGATCCGGTTCTTGTAACTTATATTAACCAATTAAAGAATTGTAAAGAACTGTTGAATACTGCGTTGATTCCTGCCGTGGCTCAATTTCTTTAATAAACAGCTATCGAACAACTTGAGAACATTTTATTTATGAATTTTGGGTTTACTTAATATTATATTTGCTCGTTTTTTTCAGACAATAAGGCAACATTTTTTGATCAATAAATCATTCGCTGAAAGTACAGTATAAACTCAAAATAGGAAGTTGATACAAAAATTCGAAATTTTACTGAAGAAAGATTGTAAACTTTCAATCTGAACCATTTTCATAACTTTTTTATTTCAATATTCCATCCATCGAAAATTTTCTAAAAGCAGGCCACCATGTTCTTTTTCCGAGTCATTAAAAAATTGATACTCTGGACTTACGAGCAATTATTTTTTATTGTACGGGCTAATATAAATTTCGAATCAAATCTCAATAACAACTTTTATGTTTTATGCACTAAGAATAACATATCGCACTTATTTTCTAGAATGAAATTATAATCTGTTATACTTGTATATATATATATATATATATGTTTTGAATTCATACTTTCAATAATATATGAGTTACTTTTTATGATATATTATATTAAATTTAGATAATATGTACACTTTATGTACCCAGACAGACAACGTCTATTGGACGTCCAAATCTGGTTTTTATTTAGTCTGAACATCCATGGACTTAGTATGAATGTTTTAAAAACGTATGTTATGCAACGTACAAAATATGTTCACATTTAGACATTTTACAAATGTTCTCTTGCAAAAAATTTTCTAAATCTGCTCATGACATGTTTTCGGTGACTTAACAAGTGAAAATTTTTTTAAGATCGTACGAGGATTTCATTTTTGTTAGTATGTACGGACGTCTTCTGAACGTCCCTAGGGCATCAGTGTTATGTGGAAAATTTTCAACGACACAAAAGTCTATATTGTATTCTGTTTAGATACATTATGGTACATAATCCGTACCGTATCAATACGGCGTATATTATCGACAGGAGAAAGACTGTGGCGATCTCTAGTCGAAGACGAGATTTACATGATAACTGATACTGTGAAAGTATAGCGTATGATTTCCTAACCAGAAAATAATTAATATTAAGATTAAATATTAGACAGTAACTGACTCTTTGGATGTTCAATTGAACTGCACAAATTTTTATCAGGTCTATATTGAATAGATGTATCATAACTATACATCCATGATTATATTCGTGGATTATCGAAGTGTAGCGGTTTCCATATGATTTCAGAAGTCAAGGATAGTGGATGGCGATATGGATGGATGACTGTTTTGAAGCATTATGAAATTAGTTCAGCGAAAAATGTTTCTTTTCATCATAATTTTATGATGTGTATTCTGGAATAAGATATTAATCAATAATAATACTCATTAAGAATCATGTGGTCTAAAATTTGTTTAATATATTAGTCCATCCAGTTTTAGTCCAATGCGACCTAACATGGATGTTTTTAAGAAGTGTTATCAAAACAGTTAATTAAAACATTGTTTAAATATTCAAGGATCTAATCTGGATGTTTTAAATATGTCCAAAACGTCCAATATGTACGTTTTAAATATATTTTTAGTTTTAAATACGTTTTTAAAAATTTAAATGATTATCTGATAATATATTACAAGTGACTGATATATCAATAAAGGTGCCAGTTCAAAGTGAACATACATCAAGTGTATCCTCAAAAATTTCAACCTTTAAAAATTTTAATGATTATCTAACAATATATATTACTATGACAAATAACTGATATAATTTTTAAAGGTTTAAATTTTTAAGAACTTTATATGTATGTTCACTTTGAACTGGCACCTTTAATAATATATCAGTTATTTGTCATGGTAATATATTGTATTATTAGATAATCATTTAAATTTTTAAAAGTTTAAAATTTTGAGGATACACTTGATATATGTTTACTTTGAACTGGCACCTTTAATAATATATCAGTTACTTGTCATGGTAATATATTATTGGATAATCATTTAAATTTTTCAGTTTAAATTTATTAATACAATCAATTAATACTGTCCCATCATCATCATCACCGATTCAAGATCTGAATGTAGAACTTGTTAAAGTATGTTATATGAAAAACGTAAAATTGTTACTGTATGATATATGCTTGTACATGAAACCGTACTCTTCTTATTTGAACTCGGGCAATGTGTCGAGCATGCATACTATAAACTAAATCAATGTACGCATGGTGTTAGTGAAAAATTCAAATATTTCGTATCATTTTTAAGACAAAATTGTATTACTAATAAACGCGATGCTGTAAACACTTTGCACAAAATTTATGATAAAAATTCTATTGTAGAATGTGAACTTGTGGTCTATGGTTTAAATTATATTGTACATGCTCCATTAAATATTAGATAAATAAATCTATATAAAAAAATATACATACTTCTTTGAAAATTTATCTTTTCCCTAATCTCTTCATTATTCCTTCTTCATATCTTCGTAAAAATAAATAACTTAATAAGAAAATGCGTCGGTTGATCGACTTATACTATTAAAATATTATTAAAATTGTGCTCGTATCATTTTATTGTAAAATCGCATCATAAAAGTCATAAAATGAATACCATATTTTTTAAATAAAATCGAGAGAATATACACAGTGCGACAAATATGTTCCCGGACACGAACCACATCTCAGCAACCAGTGGCGACATCTGTGCGTTCAAACATGCATTTTAAAGGTTGAACATTTTGCTATCATCTGTCAAAGTTTTATTCAATTTGGTTGACATATAACGAAGATATGACAGCTCA